TAGGCTTCCCGTGCCTGAAGGAGATGGGTTGGGGCACATCAGATGTTCTTTCTTCTTTGCATCCCCTGTAGCAACCTTGTGGCATCAGCCAGATCCTTCCTCTGTTTCTCTGCCCCCCCAGAGCTCCAGGCTGTAACCGCTGCAGCAGAAAGGTGAGGAGCCCCTGCACAGTGTTTATTTTGGTGGCTGCATGGGCCACAGCCGCTCAGTTCCCCTCACTGGGAAGAGGGACTAACTTGGGGCTTCGCTCAGAAGACTTTTCTGTCAGTCCTATCCTTAGAAAAGCTTCTAAGCTGCTAACAAAGTAACCTGGTAACACCTCTGATGTTTACATCCCTGGTGGAACGCCTGCCTTACTAACCTGCCCTGCTAATGTATGTGGATGCCTCTAAGTAATGGATTTTGACTTAATTTTTGGTTTGTAAAAATGCTTGTAGCCCCCAAACACAGATTCCACAGGCAACCCAACAGCCGTTTAGGTACAGCTGAAACTCAGTTATGAGTCTCAATTTCTACTTCATCATGCACAAGCGAGCAGTAGCTGTGACATCTAAGCACTGGGACAGCTCTTGCATGGGTAGAAATGGCAGATGCTACAGGACTGACTGCTCCGACCCTCTGTACTTTGGGCTTTTTCAAATGATCCTGCCATAGCAATTGCCACTTTCTGATCTTGTTGCAGCAAGAGAAGAGTTGAGAGTAAAACTGCTCTGGCCTGCTCCCTGATGCATGCATGTCTTAAGGAATGAGGACAGAATGTAACCTGGAATATGCCATGAATGAATGGTTGGCTAATGTCACTCTTCCCTTTTCAGTGCCCGTGTACCTGCCATTCCTTCTCGTCGGGTCTGTATTTGTGGCATTTGTTGTTGGCGGTGCCTGTGTTGGAATTTGCTGCTGCAAGTGCTTAAAATCGCAGGATGAGGGGCAGCCAAGTGGACTTGCACCTGGCCAGACTTGGCTGCTAGAAGCTGATCTTCCTTCTCGCTTCTCCAGTTCCAGTTCTGCCACCAGAAGCTCACTGAGCAGCGGTCCTCAGACCAGCAACATCTGCATGACTCTGGCTCCATCCCTTCCTATCGCTGGGCTGGCTGAAGATGCTCGGTTCTTAAGTCCTCCACCCACCAGTGGACAACTCCTGCACCCTTCCCGTGCTAACCACAGAATACCGACTGATCGCACCACAGTAATGGCTCCAGCAGCTTTCCTTAAAAGAACCATTTATGGACACAGTGCTAACGCATCCCCTGTTGGGGTGACACAGGGTGACCAAATGATGTACTCAGGAGTTCCCGTCTGAGAAGATGCACATCAGCGTACAGCCTGAACCGGATGCTGCTTCACTAGTATAAAAACTTCTTTGGGACTGAAACAAGGACTTTCAAATGTTTGATGCTATTAAGAAGTGCATCAATTTTGGCTTTTTATGTCTCTGAAGATGACATTTTAGAACTTCTTTTAGGTTCTTGGGGTTTTTTTTAACTTGTATTATTTTAATGCTATTGAAAAAGGCAAGAGTCTGAGGCCTGTGTACCTGTTCAAGGCATGGCAGAAACTGTAGAAATTAATTTCACCCTTCCCTGGTCCTTTCAAGCTGCCATACCATGCTCTAGGGGACATGTCAGAGGCCTTGGTTTCAATTTCTGTGGTTGTGTCACTTCTCAGCAAGTTAGGACAGGGAGGTGCCTTAGTGGAGTTACTAACTCTGGACACTCGACAGCCTGTAAAGCCCAGGAAGGCTGTACTTCATCTACAGCTTCTACCATAAACTGATGCAAGGTGATGCTGCCTGGGACTCACCTGCCCCTGCTGAACTGTCGGTTAAGTGGTGCTGCTTAAGGAGCATCTTCTAGCCCTAATTTCAGTAAAATGTACAGTTTAGTGCAGATCCTAGGGGAAGATAATAAAACAATGTATGTGTTGCTTCCTCTCTTCCCATGGCTTAGTGGTCTTTTTTCTTTCTTTACATAACTGGACACTTCAAATGGATGAACGATTACAGGGTAAGGTAAGAACAAAATAAGCCTCCACTCAGTTTGCTGAGAATATCCTGGAGACGCTTGCCTCCTTGGACTCCTTGTTAAGATGCATGCTGCCTGAGTGCAGCCATCCCCTTCGCAGCAGGGTACTGATAGGAAGAAGTTGTCAAAATACACTACTCGCGGCTGGAGTGTTTTAAGACCTCCCCACAGCACAGAAACTGGAGTGATTAAACTGTGAAGGCATGTTAAAAGGACTCCACAGGTGTTACCAGTAGGAGCAGGGGCCAAGGCTTAAAAATCTTACGTGGATAAGTAAATGCTAAAGCCTCTCCTGGGTTAGGACTGCCCATCAAACAGTAAACTGGTAAGATAAAGATGCTTGGAGACCTCTCTTTTAAGTCAATCGGACTAATAGACTTTGTAAACAAATTTATGACCTTCACACTACTTTATTATCTATTTTACTTCAGAACATTACATCTTAATTCTGGTGAGCAGTATGTCCTACAGTAACGTTTATACTAAGCACACGTATATCTCAGTGCCCTAGGGGCAAGGTGATATATTTGGATAACTTTCTGACTCTTTCATGGGTGTGAATCAGAAATTTCACAGAATTTAGCTGGCCCAGGGCTGTGACATATGTTTACTTGGCCAGTTCCTCCTAAAATTGGAGTACGAATATAAGCAGGAAACAAGAATACCCTAAAAATAAAAGCTTCCCCAAAATACTGAGAGCTGTGTTGTACACTTGTTTTAGTACTGAAAAATAGTAAGTTGAGGCTTCCAGAAATACAGTAGCTTGAGCTTAAAAGCATTGTCCTTGTTGCAGTCAGTAAAAGGTCAGTGGGATTTACTGACAGCGATGCCAATACACAGTACTGCAGCTGCAATAATGCTTTTTAAAGTTAGATTTTAAACTTGTATTGCCGAAAGCACTTAGAAAATGTCTTCTTTTGTATAAAGTAACTGTTGTTTGCAGTTGGCTTAGGAAGATCTGTAGCTGTGTGGAGCAGTTTATCATCTGGTTACATTTCCAACTTTGATAGTACATCAAGAAAAAAACTCATGTCAGTTCAGAGACAAATGAACAACATCCCTCCTGATGCTCTTTGTTCTGGGAAATACAGAGCAACTCGTGTCGCACTGATGCTGTGAGGAAGGTACATTTTATGCCTTGCAGACTCAGGCATTAGAAATGGAGAAGAGGTGGTTTTATCAGCTAGTCTCTCCTTTACTGAAACATCATTATTCTCTACTATAGATTTTCTGAACTAGAAAGGTAAAGGAATATGTGACCTGACAGCCAGTACACTTAAGCTTCAATCTGTAGTATACATAGACCTTCTGCCAACTCCTACAGAAATTGAAGTTCGCCAGGAGGCAGCTTCAGGATAAGGTTTTAAATTAAATAAGAAACCAGAGAAATAGCCTTCCTGATACCATAAAACAGCAAAAGGTCAAGAGGTTCACGTGTAACCTTAAAGAATTAAAGAATTAAAAGGAAAAAAGTTGATCAGAAGTGAGGAATAGAAAAACTAAATGGTTTTGTGAATGCTGTCTTAATTGCTCTCTGGGGAGGATTAGCAGAGGGTTTGGAGTCAGCATACCTTCCTCTCCCCCACCTTTCTCTGTGTATTCCACAACTGAAAAACTGAAACAAACAAAAAAAAAAGCAAAACGGTTTAACTGAGCAGACGCTCACTGGCAAAGCTAGTATTGGGAACAACTGCATTTTCTGTATCCCTATCACAGTATTTTCTATATAGTTAAAACTAATGTTTATGGCAACAAAGCCATGTCAAATATTTCAAAGGCTTCAATATTTCTTGTGAAAACTGCAAGAGAAAACAAGAAGTAACCAAATTTTTGCACTCGAGGGCTGGAGGGACTTTTTCAAAGAACCATTTGCTTAACATCTTCCATCCAGCACCATTGGAAACTCAGATTACCTTGGTCTCCATTAGCATCTGCATTAAAATCAGGTCAACTCGCCTGTGGACTAAGGAAAAAGCAGAGACTATTTTTTATGTAAATTCTATCCTTTTACTGATTTGAGGGGCCTTGCTACTGAGTTTAGCAGTTCTTTAGATAGATGGGATATGTTCCTGCTAAATCCCTTTTTTCTCCTCTAAACTGCTTTTCCTGATTCAAGCTAAAGAAGAAGTACTTAACAGAGACTAATAGTCTACTTACCACCTATTGTACTGGGTGCTTTGCTTTGTTTGCCTAATGATGCCCCCAATTAAGAAATGATTTACGCTCTTTGCTCGTTAATCCTCAGTAATGACACAGGTGATCCGAATTGTTCTCAGTGTATTCTTTCTGGATCTAGGAATGAGAACATAAGGGCTAAGAACTGAAAAGGTGAAGATGACAGTTTGAGCCATCAAAACCTTGTTACGGGGCTGGCGGAATGGTGTCCGTGTGGTTCCTTACAGGCTCGTCTGCACATGGCATTGCCTTGCTCTCAACAGTGGTTTCGATTTTCTTTAGCGTCAATCTCTTCCCAATTGATTTGAGATCACCCAAAATGTGTTTTTGTCCAGATTTTTTTTGGACAGGTTTAACCAAACCAGTTTAAAGCAGCACAGGTTTCTGTGTTGCTTATAACGGTGTCTCCACAAATGTTCCCGTTTTGCCCCTTTGTTGGACTGAATCAATATACAGCGCTGATCAATCCACCCTGTGCTACTAGAAAATATAAACAAAGCAACTTAAAGAGTTTTTACTTTTCATGCTACAAAGCCATAGTTTTTAAAGTAGTGAATGAGAAGCAACCCCTCTTTCTGAACAGGTAAGTATGTCTGGTTTTCCCTTGGGGGAAACTAAGGTACAGAGAACTTGTTGAAGATCTTTCACCTCTTTCACTCTTTATCTCTTCCAAGGCCACACAGTGTATTGGCAGAACTGTGAAGAGATACCAGCACCCCTGGCTCCATAACTTAGATGAGTCTGCTATTAACAGTCTAATTAATTTCTTTGGCTAAGAATAATGATCGATATTTGCCCTGCATTAAGTGACAGATTTGCTTTTATTCAGCATAGCTGCAGTTTGTTAAATGTAAACCCAGAGCTGACTGTTATGGATGCTGTATGCTTTTTTCATGTTTATGTCAAGGGTTTCACCAAGATCTGCAACAATTCATTCTAATCAAGTCAGTTCAACTTTGAACTGAAACAAGAACCGCCTCTTACCCTTCAAGCAGAGCTACACTGGTTTGCTCTTCTTCAGTACCAGGTATTCTGGCAGATGATCAAAAATGGTCAGAATGCAAAAGCCCATCAAACCTACAGTTTTCTCTGGGATCTCAAAGCAAGGAGAAGCCTTCCTGAAAGTTACACTATTGCCTTAGGTCTTTCCTACAAGAATGTGAAGGTAGTTACAATGTAAGTTCAAGGCTGTAGTGGAAAACGGTATATATTTCTATTGCTTTGAAATGGTTTTGATTGTCTTTACTTTATGTGGTATTAGATGTTAATGCAGTGGAAAGGACAGTGCCTAACCAAAGCCCCGCATCCTGGGAAGCCTCCTGGGATCTCAGCGTCCTCATACAGATGCATGAGGGTGAAGGAAGTTCACAGGACAAAATGAGACTGGATGTTGTTAACACAACAAGCTGGGGCACGGGGGAATGGACATAGTCCTGACTGGATGGATGCATGTGCCTGCACAGCCACTGCCAGAGCATCTGACATGAGCGTGAATGTGCTGCTGCACCAATGTGCAGGAGGGGAGAAGGCTGCAATTTCTCGTTTCCAGTAAACCTATGCCTACCTAGGAAGAAAACATATCCTTATGTGCTCCCCCTTCCCTCTGGGGCCTCTGAGAGGTGCAATACGGATCTGCAAACGAGCACTCTTGCCAGTATACCTTGTTTGTTTTTTAAATTAAATAAGCTCCCTTGAGCAGGAGCACTGTGGGAGGCTTCCATGAAGTGCTGCCAGGTTGCTTCCTTCCCTTCGCTGTGTGATGCCTGGCGTCGGAGCCCCCTTGCTGACTTCCAGACCTCATCCCTATTGCTGAGAAATCAGGCGGTCACTGCTCAGGCAGAAACGGCGGCCTGGCAGCCCTGGGTGCAGATGCAGAATGAAACTGGAAATGTTTTTCCTTCCCTAGGAAACAGGCATGGAGCTGCAGAGAGTGGCCTGCTTGCCTGGACCCCTGATGCCTGCCTGCACGCTTTCATGTTGCTCTGCATGTGGATTTTCCTGGAATAAGTTTTTTTTCTCTTAAGCCCTTAACAGTCACTATTGTACTGACAAAATATTTCCATGTAGCTCTCCTATGATGGGACTACCATCTTCTGTTCATCAG